CGTGCCATGCCCACCACCAATGCAGCGAAAAGCTGACCGATGCCCTGCAACACAAAGACTAAAGAACAGCTACAACTACGATGTAGAATATTGTCAGGAAATGCTAATCATGGGCCTTGTTGTCACTGCACAGGTGTAATACATTGTATGACTAAGCAAAGTGCTGCTTGTTCTGATTTGGATTGTGAAGTGCTTGGGATCCAGGGAATGTTGGGCTTTGTGTTTCCAAAGGCTGAAAGAGAAACATCCGCACAAGACATCACAAAACTGCATTCTGAAGTGAGAGGGGCGAATAGCCCTTTCCCACAAGCGGCCTGTGCACAACCGCCCACTGCCACCATGGCAATGGCACAGCCCAGCACGGAGACACCCGCATGTCGCTTGGAGAGAGGGGCACCTGAATCGCCAAAAGAGACCAGCTGCTGGGAGTCTTCTGAACCCAGGATATCGTTCTCCATCTTGCTTCAAAGGAATCTGCTGCACTTACAAGCGTGTGGCAAACACATTTGCAAAAGCAGAAATATCGAGGCTACATCACACAGGCAGGGGCCAATCCAGAGCTAACAAACCGGGCTGGACAAAATGGTGACACCCCCAATAGCTCACTATTGAGGCAAAAACGTGCATGAATGCGAAGTGCGAATTCATGAAAAATGAAACTGCATCCACTGGTTAGGTTTCAGGCACAAACCTGTTCAGTCAGAAAATGTCACTAAGCTGTGAACCGAGGCCCACAGAAGCCAAGGGTGCCACAGTTGCACCGCTTAAGGTGACCTGCAGGCAAAACAAAGAGTCTTGAAGGTGTTTCGTCTTTCAGGTTTTCAACAAATGCTCCTCGCTCTTGAGGACCCCAACATCGGCTGATGGAACGGCCCGGCAGAGGATGGATGCACCTTCGTGCCCATGAAAGACATGAAGTGTACTGCCAATGTGCTTCTTAGTAGCAAGGGCACTACTACCAGTAACAAGGGCATTACTGCTGGTAACGAGGGCACAACTACTAGCAACAAGGGTCATTACTAGATAGAAGCTACTACTTACTAGTAGCTAACGGGATTAATACTCGTAACAAGGGCATTACTACTAGTAACAAGGTTCATTTTTAGCTACTAGGTCAAGTCCAATTCGGTGGGCGCTGCTTTGTTTCAAAGGGCACTCAGTGACCAGCTGGCCTTGGCTGCGTCGATCGCTTCAAGTTTGTTAGGCGTTACGCTACTGGATTTGGATTGGGTTACTGCTGGAGGGCATTCTAGTTCTGATCGTGATTCTCACTGCAGTGATGTCACATTGCCAACTTCCCACTTCGCACTGCTGGTCAAGCTTGATAGTACCCGGCGGATCTGGTGAAACCAAATTGTGAGGAGAAATCTGGAAAGTGCAATCATGCATGGTTTGCGTTCCTATGCTCCTTCATCCGTAATGACATGGGTGAGTCCGCAAGTGTTCATTCAGTCGTTGCACCTCGGCTTCGGTGTTTGAAGAACAAATGGCGCAACGACACAATTGGCTGCAAGTCCACCGTGTTTCAGTGATAGTATACCTTCAGGATGGTTGCACATTGCACCTGTGATCAGCACACCTGGACACCTGTGATTGGCCAAAGACATGGTGCCCATGGTCGAAGAAGGTGAGACATTAGAAATCCTTAAAAAGGTGAGATGTTGTAAATCAATCGGTTGAAGTGAGCTAGCAATGCCCTTGTTACTACTACTAGTAGTAATGCTCTTGTTACTAGTAGTAATGCCGTTGTTACTAGTAGTAATGCCCTTGTTACTAGTAGTAATGCCGTTGTTACTAGTAGTAATGCCCTTGTTACTAGTAGTAATGACCTTGTTACTAGTAGTAATGCCCTTATTACTTGTAGTAATGCTCTTGTTACTAGTAGCATTGCCTTTGTTACTAGTAGTAATGCCCTTGTTACTAGTGGACATGCTCTTGTAACTAGTAGCATTGCCCTCGCTACTACTAGTGATGCCCTTGCTGTTTCGGATATGTGTCTGTGGATCTTTACAATCAAAAGCCTTCCTCCCTGAAGTAACTCACTGGCCTGGCGCAGCCGCTCGCACTGCTGACACCTGCCATTTCTGAGATGTCATGTAAAAGTCGTAGCATAGACAGAGAACCCATGCAAACATATACATACAGTACAGTATAAGACTCGTAAAGTATCATCAGCACATGCTTTGCACCTGAGCCACTGAACGAACTGCCTGACGAAGCAAAGCCATGACCTCTGCATCTTCGAACACACAATAAATTGGGACATGAGGAAAGACTGTTCAACACAACCGCGCCTGTGAGCGGTATTTGAGATCTGCTGGAGCCGTGCTGTTTCTGGTCTCTGAGCTAAAACAAGCGCATGGCGAATCTCTCAGGTTTGCCGAGCAATATCGAACGTCCCTCATTCCGACGATATAAGAAGCAAGTACAGGACTGTCGTACATGTCAGCTCTCCCACAACAGTTTGGCGTTCTGAGACAGACTGTTTTCTATGTTCGAGGAGCCACATGTCACTGTCGCTGCCTTCTGCAACCTGGCATGGCTACAAAGCTGCTCAAGTTTGACAAGGTGCAAATTTGAAGGACAAGCTGTGCAAAGCATCGGGCGTTTGACTGGCAATTCGCAATCCGCGCTTCGTTTTCCGCCTTGCACTGAGAACAAGAGCTTCAAGGTCATATCTGAAGCAGCTTGGATGTGGAGATGTCAAAGTTACCACAGCCGGTCTCCGAAGTACTGGTGTGCATGCTCATCGACCCACTGTTGGTCACACTGACTGGTACAAGGTCCTTTGCAAAGGACACGCTGCCGGCGAAGGCTTTGCTTCAACTCCCAACCTTCCTGGAGAAGACGATCCACTTGCTGCTGTTCAGGGCCATTCTCTTGATGAACCTCCACAATGATCATTGAAAGAGTCTTCAAAAGAGTTGGATTTTCCTCCAAGAAGGTGCCGAAGCAACCTTCACAGTCGATGGCCAAAGTGTCGAAAGTAGCGTTGAAGGATTGGACCGAGAAGGCAGGAACAGGAGTCCCAGGGCGTGGATCATTCAAGTCAACGGTGTGCTTCCCATAGCCGAGCACAGGAGATGCTCCATCTCTTCGTACGATCTTGAAACCTTTTGACCCAACAACACCTCGCACCACTTCTGCACTGCAGTTGTGTTTTGCAAGATTTCCTTCAAGAACATCCCAAATGTCTGGATCTGCATCCGATGAGAACAGCTTTGCACCTTGGCTTGGGTGCAAAAGCTTCGAAATCAAACATGTTGTCTGCCCGTAGCGTGCTCCCACTTCCAGAACTGATGCACCAGGCCTGATCCAAGTGGTATACATCAGCCGCGAGCCGTGTTCAATCTTGCAAAGAAAACTGGCACCAGCTTCTGTGTCGAAGCTGCAGTCATCTTCAACAAGGTCAGCGCATTTGCGTGTTGAAAGTTGCGCTGGCTTAACTTTGCTTTGGATCAGTGACTGACCGCTGGCACCACTGGCACCACTAGCGCAGGTGGCACCGGTACTGTCATGGCAATCTGCTGCGGCAAGCTGGGCCATTAAGGCCGCTGCAAGGAAAGCCATGGCGGCCATGATGACCTGAGACTCTACGGTAATCAAGCGGTAAAGTTGAAGACCAATACTGGCAAGCAGAGATGGCTCCAAAGGAAGTACATGGAAGTACTGTATTAGCTTATATAAATTCCAAAATTGGTGTGATTTGGTGATGAACTGCTTGCAGAACAAAGCATTGCTGCAACCCACCTGCTCGGGCAAAATCACCTCAAGCAAGGTCGTGTCACAAACCGGAGATCGAGGGCTGCGTTTGGAAGAAAAAGGTATAGTACAGTACATGTTCTGAACACTCACTGGCACGTTCTGCTCGTCGTCGCAGCTTTGCTTCAATAGTCTAAGTACGAGAAGGCCGTCCTGTCTCAAATGGTCTCTTTGAGCCCGAGACCTCCAAGCGCGCTTCACTCGCCACCTCGCTGAAGTGCTCCAACATTCTCTTGCCCAGCCCGCGGCCACTGTGTTCTGGAAAGGCGGCAAGGCAACTCTTTATGAAAGGACAAGATCTAAAATGTCAAAATGCTCTTTTTTTGCCCGCTCCTACTTGATTGAGGAGGCGCCTACTTGTCTTCTTGATGGAAGCTCCCCGCCTGAGGGCGGGGGAGCTTCCTTGAAGAAGCCCTCACACTATTCATTTGTTTCCTAGATTTTTAGGGAAAAGATACAGTAAGTGGCTCCTTTAAAGCTGTATGCATTTTGACTTTATGTCGACTTGAACTCATTTGTACTTGTCTCATGTAAACTTGATCTCAGACGTGCCTGGTACAACGAAAACAAAGTGTGGCACAAGAATCAGCTGGCCCAGTTCTGCCGAGCATGGTGCCCATGGCAATGCTGAGACTGGCCGAGCAGCCCTGTGGCGGTCTCCCCAAACAGAACCCGACAAAACGTACATGTCCGAAGCGAGCTTAACTCACATATACTATAAGCGGTCCACACCTGTGATTCTCATCCAGCAGTTTGGCCTCACTGGGTCTAAGGACAGACCTGTCAGCATCAACAAAGCGAATGTTCATGGAGGGCTACAATTATATACATTCTTCACAAATCTTTATTTGTGTATTCAGGTGGTGGCTTCACAGTCTGGTCTCGTCATACAAACAAAGGTTTTGTCATTCAACCCTCATGACCTCTGACTTATCTGGACCACCCCACCTGAGCTGCTCTAGGACACCGATGGTAGTAGGATGCTGGAAGCCTGGAACGCCAACTGGCACAGATCTTCTTGGCTGTAGGTTGGAGGCCATCGCTCTTAGGTTCCCTTTGCTATTAGGTTGGAGGCCATCGCATTTACCAAAATGCCTTGAGAAATGCATCGTGGGTTGCATGTCCACTCACCGAAGGCTGAAAGCACCAGACTCCTTCGATCCCTAAATATGATCGACACACATAAATAGATCAAGTCCAATACCATTCGCGTTAGCTGTAAGACAGTCAATACACACAGCCGATGTTTGGCGCCTAAAGACCGCTGCAGCCCAGCAAGTGCTTGACGCCATGTGTCTTCGGCCTCTTGCCAGAAACAGCAGCGTGAAGACCAGGCGTATCAATACCTAGAACTATATATAACGAGAGAATACACAGCCCCCACAAATCACGATGCATCTACACACCAACAACGACCCGAGACACTAAACAACACATGTAAATACAGTATCATAAGGAGCATTAAGGAGCCATAAAGGAACCTAGTGGCATTCATCACTCTTGGAACATGGCTATGTCATCGTTTAGGTGACTTTGGCAAGGACACGCGTCATTTTTGCCCCGCGCTTCACATTGCTTCGTGTCCATGTGTTTTTGGTCACCCACGGCTTTGCCTCCTTTACATATGTATATATGTGCACTTTTTGCAGTTTCTTGGGGTTTTTGAGAAAATGTGTAGAAAAGCGACCTCTCTTCTTCTTTGTTTATTTTTCGCAGGGCGCCACATAGATATGACACCTATTGCGCCTTCCGCGGAATGAGTTGCTCTGTGTACGCGCATCTTCGCTGGTCTTGCCGTCTCGTTCTCCACACTGTCATCAGCAGTGAACTCAGTGAGTGGTTTTCTCTTGCAATGTTTCATGGCAACGTCCAAGAGTGCTGGAGTGTAGGCACATTCTTTCACCAAGTTGCATTTAAAGGCACCCCTTGCATCAAATGATCATCGGTTTGTATCATCATTCTCTCATAATTTAATTGTCTTTGTTAGCATCACACGATCACCTGTGTTCCCATGATGTCAATGTCATCAGTCAGTTGCACCACATGTTTTTTACTTTTATGGTTCTTCTTCTTCTTCTTCCTCTTCTTCTTCTTCTTCCTCTTCCTCTTCCTCTTCCTCTTCTTCATCATCATCATCATCCATTCCACCCTCATTATCATGAGCACCATTGATGAACTGGAGTGAACTTGTTTCGGCATGGATAAGTGGAGGAATGGGGAGGCTGTGCTAACCTCTCTCGTCGATCTATGAAATGGGCGTACAACATCCCCGAAGTGCATGCATGCATACCTGGCTGTGACGTTTTGATCACCACAGAACTGAGGCTACATACATCCACCTTCCTCACAGCACATACCCGATGAGCCGCAATGGCAGAAAGGCGTATGCACCTGAGAAAGGCAGCAACAACGACAAGGCAAAAAAAAAGTAGCCCCGTCAGCACACATCTTCTTACTTGGTCTCTACCCTCTTACAAACAAAAAACTGCAGCCCCGCAGTTGATGTTTAACCCCCCTCCAAAGCGACAAACCAGTACTGGCAGTACCACTACTACTACTACTACTACTACGACTACCACTACCACTACCACTACCACTACCACTAGTAGTACTACTACTACTACCACTACTACTACTGCCGCCACTACTACCACCACTACTACTACCACCACTACTACCACCACTACTACCACCACCACTACTACTACTATGAGTACTGCGTAGTAGTGGCAGAAGCAGAAGCAGAAGCAGAAGCAGTACTACTACTAACCCTCCTCCTACTCCACCTGCTCCTGCTGCTACTGCCCCTGCTACTACCAACTACCACTACCACCACCACCACCACCACCACCACCACCACGACTACTACTGCTAGTGCTAGTACTAGTGCTACTGCTACTGCTACTACTACTACTATTATTACTACTACGACGACTACTACTACAGGGCCAACCACCACCTAATAGAAACAAGAGCTGTTTTTTGCGTCTCTACCCCTCCTAGAAACAAAGACTGCAGCCCCGTTGGTCACGCCCCGCAGAACAACACCTCAAAAAAACTTCACCGACCCAGACTTCAGTGGAACAAGAAACCAACATTCCCTCAAGCTTCAACCGTATCACTAACCATATCCCCGTGCACAACTACGTTGGCCAGCTGCTTTTGTTGTACGAGTACCGACAACAAGAAGCAGCAGCAGCAGCAGCAGCAGCAGAAGAAGAGAAGAAAAAGAAGAAGAAGAACAACAACAACAACAACAAGAAGAGCAACAAAAAGATAAAACGCAAGAACGGGTATCTCAGCAGGAAAGTCCAGCAGCACCGGTTTGTGTCCTTTGACTGCGCAGGTTTTAGTCTAATGTCCAACACAATGACATTGCGCAATGTACGTTGTACATGTTGCACGGTGTTCAACCATGTTCCGAAGCGCCCATTATGCCAAACCGACCCGTTTTTGTTTCCTCACGCGCGCGAGCAGTTTCTAAAAGCCATGTTCTTTGCAAGTGTAGCTCAGGACACTCGAAGCTCATGTTGGAACCTGGCTCCTGATGATCTTGGTCTGCACAACCCCTCCAGCTTTTGACTTCAACCAAGTGACATTTGGCTGGACATGAGCAAGTTTTAATGAAATCCAGTCCTCAAGACCATTGACACGTCTGGTTCCGCTGGTACAGATCCAACAGTATGCATGGTCCCCGAAGTTATGAGTTTGGTTTCGCAGCTATGAAAGCTCTCGCAGAGTTAGCAATGACCCATGGATAGCCAGCTGCATGTATAATACCACTGTTTCCTGGTTCACAATCTTTCTGAAGAAGCCCCTCAGAATCAGACCTCCACCTGGGAACCAACCATCAGCTGCCACCAACCCTTGCAAACCTTCTGCGGCTAGTTACATCGGTTCCGAGTCGTTGGTTATTCTCAAAATCTCCAGATACAGACCTCAGAGTAGAATTCTCGGGAAACAAACAAACACCTCACATTGTAGAAAACACGTAGAGAAGATTTGCAATGGGACTTGCGCTGCCACCCACGCGACCCACCCTCTATTGATGGCTGAAAACTGAATCCTCGCCTTGGCAGTGCGACCGAGCTCTGCTTGGAGGGCAGCAAGATCCCTCAACGCTTCCAAAGATTCAAAGTGCTCAAAGCCCAGCGTCTGCTGTTTTCCCTGGAGGCTCAAGGCTTGCAAATAGATAGTTCAAGCTTTAAGAACACCCTCTGAAGGGTATGGGTGGCTTTGGCCTTCTCTACATCAGCATAAATGCACCTCCGAACAGCAAGCAACGCAGCACAGCACCTCGACGGCCTCCTGAGCCAGGAGAGCTGCAGCCTGCAAGGCCGCAAGTTGTCTTCCAGACTTCCCGCGGCTGGCCAAAGCCAAGCTGAGATTCCTTAACAAGAAGGCATTGAACGTCAGATCCTTGAATGCTCCACGCTCCAAATTTATAAAGCTTCAATGAAACTGTCATACCTTCTCATCATGCCATACCTTCTTTGTACGCTTCGACTGAAACTGGGGATATAGGTAAATATATATATACTATATACGCTACCCCCGTGGCTGAATGCACCCTACGCGGCGCACACCTCTGAAAAAGATTGTAACGCTTTTTCGTCGCGTGGGCCACGCTTGCAAAATGCAAAGTCGGCCTACGCAAGTTTCGACTATAAGGGACTGAGCTCACAGACCCTTAACTCACCTTTGTTGCCACGCAAAGCAGAGGCAGCCCAAACTTTCTCCACGTCTAGCTATGGCAAAAGCAAGATTGATGTCCATTAATGCTCTACAATCTTGCTTCTTGCTTCTTGCTTTTGGTGTGCTTTAAATCGCTTTAAAGCCTTGAGCAGATATACCCATTCAAGTGTAGATGCACGACTGATCAGACCAGATGTACCATATATTCATTCAGATGCAAATGTATGTTCCCTCCCTCACATCCCCGCCCCAGGCGAC